GAGGCTTCTATAGTAATATTTCCTATCAGCCTCTGTTGGTCTATATTAGACATAAGCCATTAATAGTTCCTAGAGCTGTTCGAATGGTATTGGCACATGCATCCTGCTATGTTCCCCTGAGCCATTTTCTCTGATCCAAGAAACATGTAAATTTTTTATCGCCTGTAAGCAATTTTGCTAAAATTTTTAAGTCTCTTAGCTCTTGTTGAATTTTACCATTGAGTATTTGCCTTTCTGTATTTCCAGCTTAAAATGAAGGAAGGAGGTGAAGGCTCCCTTTATCTAGGTACTTATTGTTTTTCCCTGCTGATCTTAATTATTTGTCTTGTATATTCTTTACTATCTAGCCATCTCTAAGTAGGCGCGGATTTTTCTGTTCTCCATTACATTCCTAGATATCTCCTGAGGGCCTGCATGTATGCGAGGCCGCACCTAGTCTTCCTAAGTCCCTGTGCAACTTAAAATGCTGTATCATGGCAGTGGCTTTTGTAAGCGGAAGGGATCCTTTTAAAACTTTTAAACTTTGAAATCTCCTGTACTTGAGTAGTCTAAGCTTTATCTGTTTCTGGTTTGGGGTTTGAACTAAAGATAGGGTAATTTTTAAGATTTTTAGGAGAATGAGGCTTAAGGCCCGTAACTAAAAGTCTGTGAGGGAACTGCCTCAGCTCCCTTTTCTATGAGCAATCTGTTAAGGTCCTTCTCCAACCTTTTTCCAAGTTAGGGGATGAGTGTCTGGGCTTTCTAAAATGACCCATAGACATTTTTTTTTTTTTTTTAACAAAAAGGCAAAAAACTGAATCAATCCTTACATTTTACTCAAACTCCTCTTTCCCGAAAGGAAGTGTTTGACTTCCTTAGACAATTTGGCCCATATTATCGAACGGAATAGGGGGGACTTACCAGGGAATCAGTCACTCATGAGCGGTGAGAACTTTTCCCAGACCGGCGTCTGTCGCAATCCGGCAAGCAGACTTTCTTATCTAGTCGGTGTGCACTACCGAGGTTTCCTTGGGGCAGGGGTCTCCGTTCCGACGAAGAATCTGTACCTCGAGCCGCACGTTCAGGCGCCACCTGCCCCGGCCCGCGGGGCTCCGGTAATTCGTGGGTCCGAGGTGGATCACGCCTGCAAATAATGGGCGAGAAAGAAAGAGCTGGACCAAGCAGATTCCATTGTCAAGGCCCCCAGAAATTTTCTTTATATTTACTTATACTTTTGTTGTTGTTCTTTTTGTTTTGTTTTTTTGAGACAGGGTTTCTCTGTGGCTTTGGAGGCTGTCTGGGAACTAGCTGTTGTAGACCAGGCTGGTCTCAAACTCAAAGAAATCTGCCTGCCTCTGCCTCTGGAGTGCTGGGATTAAAGGCATGCATAACCACTGCCAGACTGGAGAAATTCTTTTTAATGATTTATTTTTATTTATTATGTATACAGTGTTCTGCCTGCATGTATGCCTGTAGGCCAGAAGAGGGCACCAGATCTCATTATGAGAAGGTTGTGAGTCATCATGTGGTTGCTGGACTTGTACCCAGG